AGAGGAATTCGAAGGTGGTGATGACCATGCTGATGAGGAGAAAGAGGAGCAGCAGCAGGACCCCTTAAGACCCCAGGACCGCCCACGCCCCACGGGCCCGTCTCGGGCCCCGCTCCTGCGCCCGCCCCCCCCGAGCGCGCTCTCCTGGCCCCGCCCCCGCCCCTCCAGCCGCGCAGGCGGCGCCCGACGCCGCGCCTGCCGGGCACCCCGGGACACCCATCGCGCAGGAATGGCCCCTGGGGGAGGAGGAGGAGGAGGAGGAGGAGGAGGAGGAGGAGGAGGAGGAGGAGGAGGAGGAGGAGGAGGAGGAGGAGGAGGAGGTGAAGGAAGCGTCGACAGTAGCCACATCGAATAAGAAATCGGCCTGTCAGCAGGTGCCCCACGAAAATGCATTACCCCCCGATGTGGCCCCAGGGACCCACGGGAGCTCTGGGGCAACGCAGGCCCTTCAAAGATCGAGGCAGAGAGTGCCCCAAGGCCTCTTGTTGTGCATGTCCACCGATGTGCTCGGCGTAGAGGCCAGAGGACGGACGGCGGAAGACGTGCGGAGTGGGATGGCGAGGGTAAGGAGGAGCGTCATCGGAGGTGTCCGTGGGCCTTCGGGGCCTTCCTCGGACCCAAGAGTTGGAGCCTACACGAGGCGGAGCCTCGCCGTTCCTCAATGTGGGCGTTCCTTGCGGCAGCGCGACGACTGCATTGGGGTTCCAGGCGGCCTCGGGGACTCGGGAGCCAAGGGGGGAGCGATCTGCTCAACCCCGCAGGGCCACAGGATCATGGAGAGAGAGGATCGAGCACCATCGAGCACGAGCTCCTCGGCCCTCCCGCTTGGCTGTCGCGTTCCGTGCTCACTGTACGTCGTTCCTCCGTCTCCCTTCTCCCTCCTCTCTCTTCTCTCCGTCTCTCCCGTCCATCCCCTCTTCTCTTTTTGCAGCCTCCCCTGATTGCTTGCTTTCCGTTCCATCTCCACAGTTGTTTCATCACTTCACTCGCCTCCTTCACGTCGCGCGCACGCATCCATCCCGTGCTTCCCATTCCGCCTGTTCTGTCCTTCTCCTGGCCTCCCGCAGCCTTGCTGCTCGTGAGGCCTTGCCTTCCTCGAGCCGCAAGCCCTCCCCTGCACGGCCTCCTCAGGGCCTGTCCCATTCCTCCCCGTCCTTCCCATCTCGCCCTTCGCCCTGCTGCTTCGTTGGCCTTCCGTGCCTTACGGCCAGGAACGTTTTGCTTAGCCTGTCGCGCCGCCGCCTCTGGCCCACCACGCTCCGGCGCGGCGCGCCAACCACGTCGCAGTTCCCGAGCGTCAGCGTCGCGTGCCTTGCCCGGCCTCCCGCCTTCGTTGTGCTGAGTCGCAGGGGGCAGTGCCCTGGGCTGGATCCGGCCCAGTCCCCTCGCCCGAGAACGCGAGGCGGGATCCCCAGGGAGCACACGCAGCCTTGATGCATGGCGGCCGCGGTGTGCAGCGGTCCTTCGTCGAAGACGAAGCAGGATGCCCAGGAAGCACGGGTACACTGGGCAGGGCGGCCGCGGTAATCATGCAGGGTGTGCGAGTCGGGTCGGAAGCTCTTTTCCTTCAATCCAACAGCCTCGACTTTCCGGGTGGGGAATCAGTTCCAGCACTTCCCCGCACCCCAACGAGAGACTATTGCGAAGGCCTTACGGCCGATGCCGCCCACCCTGAAGGGGGACGATGACGACGACGACGACGACGACGACGACGACGACGACGACGACGACGACGACGACGACGACGGCGACGGCGACGGCGACGGCGACGGCGACGGCGACGGCGATGGCGACGACGTGGACGACGACGGCGATGTCTCCGAAGGGAAGCCAGGGATGATGAACCCTTTTTCCACCACCACCACCATAAGTTGGAAGGGGGGAAGAGGAGGAGGAGGGCGAGGAAGAGGAGGAGTAGGAGGAGGAGGAGGAGAAGGAGGACCCCCTCCCCCTCCAACTTATGGTGGTGGTGGTGGAAAACAGGCCCATCAAGGGATTATTCTGGATGGTCAGAGCCCCTGAGAGCCGCCCGCGCCTCGAGGGCGCGGGTGGCAAAAGGCATTTGCCAGGGGAGGCCGCGGCCGGGCAGCTGCTCAGGAGGGGGAAACACACACGCAGACACAAGGAATCGTCGATTCCCAGGAGGATAGGGGAAAATATGGGAGGTGGGGGGGAACACAAAAAAACCCAGAAGATATGGGAACGTGTGGGGAATCCTGTTGCATGTGCGTATTTATTTGTGTGTGTGTCCTGGCGCCCCTTCAGCTACTGCAAACCCCACGCAGGTCCGGGCCTTCCACCCGGGCTTCAAGCCGAAGGTCGGATGCTCGAGCCGCATCGCTGCTGCATCGGCGTTGCGGCGCAGTGTGGAGCCGAGTTTTCTCCGCGCCGGCGGCGCCGATGCATCGGCGAATCGGCGCGATCCCCCGACCCCATCTGCTCGGACTCCACGTGGGAGGCCTCGGAGCAGTTTGGAAAGTCTCATCCTCCGCCCCTCTCCTTTCCGCAGCTTTTTGGGCTCCGGCCAGCCTGGCTCAAGCGTGGCGTCCCGCTGGCGTGGGCCCCGCATCTCGAAGAAGGGAAAGCAGTACAAACACAAGACTTCGGGGGTCTGCGTGGATCTCTTGGATCCTGCTGGACCCCCCCCCCCCTAGATCCGGGCGTTTTCATGCTTGTTCGCGCCAGGCGTTGTTTTCGCTTGGTTTCGGGACCCAGTGCCATCACAGATGGATCTGGCTCGAAAAATGCCGCGGAAAAGCTGGGTCTCGGGCTCCGCTCGTGATGCCGCGCGGTGTTGCACTGTTGTTCACGGCGTCGGGCTTCGGGCCCCCCCCCCCCCCTTGGAGGGGGCCCCAGCGCAGAGCCGAGGGAGCCGCGCGGACCTCTGGGATCTTATGGTTACGCCTTTTTGTTGGCTCCTCCAGCAGCCGCCATGGACGGCGGCCGCACGTTCCGGATATGCACGGACGCCGCGGGGACGAGTTGGTTCGACCTGGCCGTTCCTTCCCAGGATCGGCGGCCAGCGAGGGGGGGAAGTGCGAAGGAGAAGGCCTTCTCAGGAGACGGCGGGGCTTCTCAGGAGCCTTCGCGCCTTCCGAGAGGGTTTTTGTTTGCATCTTCGGGGAAGGCTCAGAAAGCTTCTCAGAAGGCCGGGGGACTTCCGAGCCTCCTGAGAAGGCCCGCCCCTTCTCACTTCCCCCCCGCGCTCGCCGCCAACAGTACATGCCCGCCGCCGACCTCGTGTCCTGCGTCCGGGACCGCCTCGGCCTCGTCGCCAGCGACCCGTTGTACTTCACGCGCTTGCCGGAGCTGGGCTCCGCCGCAGACGCGGCGGCGGTCCCGCTGTCCCCTCTGGAAGGAGAGCAATGCGGCAGAGGGAAGCAATTCGTGGACACTTCCTCGCCCCCAAAAAACTCAAAGTTGGCACGCGCGGGGAAGGCTGCGGGCGGAGCGCAACTCATCCAACCCACCGCCAACATTGATCATTGGGGGGGCATTGGCACATGAATGTGGCATGATGAGAGTTCGTTAGTTTTTTCCGAGGTCTGTGGCATAAACATAAACTGTCCAAGCTCCCTGCGGAGTTTTCTCGGCTCGGCGCCGGAGAGCCCCCTGGCGGCGCCGCTGGCGCTGCCCCGTGCGAGGAGGGCCCAGCGCCGAGCCGAGAAAAATCCGCGCGGGGCGCCGACAGTTCCTCAGCATCGCCTAAGCATACACATGGGGCGTTCCAAAAAGGGATCTGCCTTCGAGGATGGAAGGAGTTGTCCGCTCTCCCGCGGCGGAAGGCGGCGGAAGGTCGGCGGAAGTACAACGAGGCCGCCTCCGCCGGCGGAAGGCCGGCGGAAGGCCGGCGGAAGGCCCGCGGAAGGCGGCGGAAGTAGAAAACAAGATCAAAACGCCTCCAAGAGACGAGAACGCGTTTTGGGGCTCGGGGTTTCCGAAATCCGCCACGTACCTGGACTACGTGCGCCTCGGTTCGCAGGGGCGGCGCGCGCGCGCGGAGAAGTCTCAGACCAGAAACTGCTCGGTGGCGGGCGTTTTTGTTCGCCATGCGCCGTAGGACAGCTGTGCTGTGCGTTCGGCCTGGACGTGCGCCTCACAGAGGTGGGCGCACAGCAGCAGCATGTCCCTTGGCGTCCCAGCTTCTGCGCATCACCGACCAACGTGGGTGGTGATGAGTAGTGAGCGCGTCTTCTCGAAACCATGCTTGGAACAGCGACGTTCTGGCACAAGGAGGCCCGCACGCAGTGCAGCGTTCCAGCTAGCGGGAGCAAGATAGAGCAGCACTCCTCAGAGGTCGGGCGAAGAGAACTATGCACATGCACCGATCCTGGCAAGGCCCATTTTTGACCCAGGATCGGTGCATATGCCTTCCTGGCCAAGGTAGGAGGGCATATGCACCGATCCTGGGCTCAGGATGGGCCTGGCAATAATCGGTGCATGTGCATAGTTCTCTTTCCTCTAAGAGGCAGGAGCCGCCTCACCAAGCACGAGAGCCTGTGCACTGAACGGGGGGCCTCTGCGTCTCACCGCAGATCCGCCCACCACCACGACCTACCCAGACCCCCGACGGCAGGATGTTTTTCCTCACAGCGCAGCCCCCGCAGGGGCCTCGACCCACTCCCCGGGACTGGCTTCGCATCCTCGGTCGCTTCTTGACGGCCCCGAGGCCCGGCGAGGGCATCCGGGGGCCGAAACCATGGAACAAGCATCCCGAGGAGGAGGAGGAGGAGGAGGAGGAGGAGGAGGAGGAGGAGGAGGAGGAGGAGGAGGAGGAGGAGGGAGGAGGAGGAGGACACGGCGCCGAGGAGGCCTGGGCCTGCGCCTCGAGGGGCCCCATGCCGTGCTGCGCCTCCTCTCCCCGGCTGCTGCCCGACGGCACCCGCCTGCGCCTCGTGCGGCCGCCCGCCCCGCCCGCGGGGCCCGCCGCGGGCGGCGACTCCGCGGCGGCCCCGCGCATCATCGCGGAGCGGCGGGGCTCGGCCGCCGGGGACCGCGAGGCCCAGGCCTGTGGCCACGAGCGATCTGGACGCCCGAAGTGGGCGCGGAAAGAGTGGGTATACAATGCCCCACAGCAGTTCCTGTTCATTCTGAACCGGACTCGCTGTCCACGCCGCCGCGGCCTGTGTCCATTCGAGGCAGAAGGCCGCCTGCCCAACAGCGGCCGCTGTTGGTTTGGGACAACATTTGTTGTTGGGCATCGTACCCATTTTTTCCGTACCCATTTCGGGCGTCCAAACGACCGGAAACGGGTCGTACCCTGAGATCCATCGCATGGAGAAACAAAATCAGGGCGGAATTTCATGTTCGCAGTGTTCGGCCTCCGGGGCCCCCGCCAAGCCCCAGGACCGTCAAGAGACGACTCAGGCTGAAAGACTGGTCCTGGGGGATGGGTCGAGACTTCTGGGGACCCCGCATTGAATTCGCCTGGCGAAGTACCCAACCATATGCAGTTGTGAGCACCGTCGTTATATGCACCGCATTCGGAGGAGCTCGCTATAGGGCCAAGAAACGTGTGAGTGTTGTGTCAACGTTTGTCTGGTGGGCATGTGCGAAAGCAGCCACTGGGACCGTCGGTGGAATTCCTTATGAGGCCGCGAAACGTGTGATGGGCGTGCCGTAATGGGTGCACTGGGCGAGTGCGAACGCCGCCATTGGCGCCTTCGGTGGAGCTCCCTATGGGGCCGCGAAACGTGTGAGGGGTGTGGCGAGATGGGTGTGGGTGACGCATGCGGGCGGTGGCACTGGGGCCTTCGGTGGAGCTCCCTATGGGGCCGCGAAACGTGTGAGTGGTGTGCCGAAATGGGTGTGGGTGACGCATGCGGGCGGTGGCACTGGGGCCTTCGTCGGAGCTCCCTATGGGGCGGCGAAACGTGTGAGGGGTGTGCCGAGACGGGTGTGGGTGACGCATGCGGGCGGTGGCACTGGGGTCTTCGGTGGAGCTCCCTATGGGGCCACGAAGCTGTGAGTGGTGTACCGACATGGGTGTGGGTGACGCATGCGGGCGGAGGCACTGGGGCCTTCGGTGGAGCTCCCTATGGGGCCACGAAGCAGTGAGTGCTGTGCCGAAATGGGTGTGGGTGACGCATGCGGGCGGTGGCACTGGGACCTTCGTCGGAGCTCCCTATGGGGCGGCGAAACGTGTGAGTGTGAGGGGTGTGCCGAAAGAGGTGTGGGTGACGCATGCGGGCGGTGGCGCTGGGGTCTTCGGTGGAGCTCCCTATGGGGGCCACGAAGCGCTGTACTGGGCGTGTGAAATGCAAGGAGGAAGGAGGAGGGGGAGGAGGAGGACGGAGGAGGGTGAGGAGGAGGAGTGTGATGCGGGGCGCTGTCTCTTCAAAACGAGGACTCAACACCACAGGATGGTTGGGACAAACATCACGACATCGGATCTCTGGCTACGCGAGATGACGTAGCGACCCCACGCCGCAGCTCACGCGGGCCGCCAGCGCGGCACGCTGCACTGAAAACGGGGGCGCTCACGCGCGAGATTGCGCGGGCAGCTTGCGCGCGAATGTTGGCGAAGACGACCCCGTTATTCTGCATCAGTCCGGCGTGCCGTGCTGGCGGCTCGCATACGCCACCGCGTAAGCGCGCTATGCCATCTCGCGTAAGACCCGTTCTTTTCGCCGCTCACTCTGCGCTCGCAGACCTCTGGCGGTGTGTGCGTGTGTGTGTGTTCTGTTCGATCTGGGCGTTTGTCCCTCGATGTCGGCCGCTGGGGCTTGTTTCCGGGCCCCGGGGCCAGCAACCCCAAAACATCAGAATCTCAATTTAAGGGCTAGAATATCATATTCTCGAATATCAGTATCGATATGGAAAATGGACAGCTCCGGCTGCTAATATCAATTTCCTAAACCTCCGGTTGTTTTCTCAGAAGCACGCCCGCCCCAATAATTTGAGATCTCAAATATCAAAAAATCACCCGATCTCAAAATCTCAAAAAAACAGGGGTTCCCATTTGTGAATACGGACGACATGTCCACCTGGGACGCGCGGGGGGGAGGAGGAGGATGAGGAGGGGGAGGATATAAGGATGGAGGTAGGGGAGGAGGAGGAGGAGGAGGAGGAGGAGGAGGAGGAGGAGGAGGAGCAGGAGGAGCAGGAGGAGGAGGAGGACGTTCCCAGGGGACAGTTTTCCATCCTGGGTTCGTTTTTGATGGCCCTGGGGCCCGAAAGCGGCCCCCAGGGGCCGAAATCGAGGAAAATCCTTCGGAGATCGAAGGTCGAAGGTCGACGAAAATCATCCCTCGATCGAGGGGTAGGAAAGGAGATGGGAGGGCGGCGGGGGTCGCCCGTTCGGAGCCTTTTCGGCGATCGAGCCTTTTCGGCGATCGACCGTTCCAGCGGGCCCGCCGAAGGCGGGCGGGAACGACGCGGGCAGCAAAAACACGCTCGCCTGTTTTTTATTGTTTGTTTGTTTTTTTTTCTTTCCCCCCCCCTTTCCTCCTGGAGACTTCTCGTCGCCACGGCTGGATGCGCTTGGCCGAAATGAACTTCGCGAGGAGTTTGTTTGTTTTTTTGTGGGGATATGTATGGGAAAGGGGGATGGGGGAGGAGAGCGAGCGCGTTTTTGCTGTCCGTGCCGTCCCCGCCCGCCCGCTCCCGCCCGCCATGAGCTCCTTCGAGCGCGACCTCGAGAAGCTGGTCCAGGCGGAGAAGGACATCCCCCCTCACCCTCCGCTCCATGTATTTGCCCCCTCTCCATAATCTCCACCCCTTATTCCCCGCCTCAACTCCCTGCCCCTATCCTCCTCCTCATCCACGGTATCTTTCCCAGTTGTTGTTGTTGTTGTTGTTGTTGTTGTTGTTGTTGTTGTTGTCCCAGGGTACCCTTGCATCCTTAAGTGTTGCCTCGGGTCCGTTTCTGAGGGCTGTTCTGGGGCCCGAGAAGGGCCCCCGTCGAGGGACGAAAACTACGAAAAACAACGAAACCCACGACACATCTACACGAACATCCTCCTCCCCCATCCCCCTCCCCCTCCCCCTCCTCTTCCTCCTGCTCCTCCTCTTCCTCCTCCTCCTCCTCCTCCTCAAGCCCATTCGCCAATTGTATACACATACGTATGTGTGTATGTATGCATACATATTTGGATGTATCTAGGTAGCAGCGTATGTATGTATGTATGTATGCAGTTATGTATGTATGTATGTATGCATGGATGTAAGTATGTGTGTATGTACGTACGCACGTATGTATGTATGTTTGTACACACGTATGTATGTATGTATGTATGTTTATACACACATGTATGTATGTATGTATGTATGTATGCATGCATGTATGTATGTATGTATGTATGTATGTATGTATGTATGTATATATGTATGCGTGCATATATGCATGTACGTATGCATGTATGCATGTATGTATGCATGCACGCATGCATGTGTGTATGTATGCATGTATGTATGTTTGTTTGTATGTATGTATGTATGTATGTATGTATATATATGTGTGTATGCATGCATTGATGTATGTATGTATATAGGTACGCACGTATGTATGTACGAACGCACGTATGTATGTACTGTAATGTATTGCATTGTAATGTAATGTAACGTAATGTAATGTAATGTAGTGTAATATAATGTAATGTAGTGGAATGGAATGTTATGCAATGTAATGCAATGTAATGTGATGTAATGCGATGTGATGTCATGCCATGTATTGTAATGTAATGTAATGTACTGTAATGATCCTGCCCGAGCAGGAGAAGGCGTTTCAGATGGGGGATTACAACGTGGGGGCGTGCGGCGGCAACGGCAGGAAGGTGTCGATGGCCGCGTCGGGGGCGAGTTTGTTGGAGGCCTCGAAACTGATCGCCGTGGTCGCCGCTCACTTTCCCAACGGCAAGCCGATCAAATCGGACATGCGGCCTGCCCTGAAAGTCATCGGCCAGAAGAACGGTTTTTTCGGGCCCAGCGGCATCGATGATTGGGTTGACGAACGATGTGTTGAGATCCTAACTATATTTCACCACCTCCGCCGCACCTCGACTGATACGGTTAAGTGGAGTCAGTGCGTGGGGAAGCTCGGAAGCAAGGACGTCAAGAAGTTGAAGGGTCTGACGAGCCTGATCACCGTGGAGAAAACGAGTTCGGGGACCCCAGACACCCCCACGCCCAAGACGCCGACGCCCATGAAGACGACCTCGGTGCAGCCCACCCCCGTCAAGACCGCCCCCGAAAGCACTGACGATGACGAGGACGAGTGGACTTGGGACAAGCTGCAGTCCCCGTTCTATACGGGCATGTTCGAGGGCGCGTTGTGCTCTGCGACGGCCGACGGAGGCAAGGGCCGCCGCGGCATCGAGGCCGTTGTCAAGAACAGCGGCAAGGACAAGTCCAAGAAGGGCACGGTAGGCAAGGGCAAGGGCAAGGGCGCGACCGTCTCCGACCTCGTCAAGAATTGCGATTTCCTCAAGCCGAAGCGGCTTGCCAAGCTCCCGTTGGACGAGCTGGAGTCCTTGCCCAGGAAGTACGCGGCCCCCTCTGGCGGGCACTACTACGTGACCCTCGCGGCGAACAAGTCGTACGCCCAGCGCGTGGTGGACGGCAAGAGCTCGCTGCTCGTGGAGGCCACTGCGTCACTACAGTACCGTACACTACACTACACTACACTACATTACATTACATTGCATTGCATTACAATACATTACATACATGCATACGTTCGTACGTGCATACATATATACGCGCGTACGTGCGCACATACATGGATGTATGCATGCGTATATACGTACACAGATACGTGCGTACATACATACATACATACATACATACATACACACACATACATACATACATACATACATACATACATACATACATACATGCATGCATGCATGCATACATACATACATACATACATACATACATACATACATATACATACACACATACATACATACACACATACACACATACATGCATACATACATACATACATACATACACATACATACATACATACATACATACATACACATACATACATACACAT